AAGATAAGATGTATTTTAATTCTTGCTTTATTTTCTGAGTCAGAAGACTCATTCTATTTTGTGCTGATATACCAAGGTTCATATGGTCCTTAAAAGACCTTATATTTTTTTAACCGATTTTTGTTCCTTAAAAGTCCTTAATTTTGGCCAAAATCAGCAGAAGGTCCTTAATTTTAATCATTTGAAATTTCTGTCTCTTTTTACAATTGCCATTTTGAGTGTGAATTAGCATTTTGGAGGAATATTTTCAGCGATTCACTGGCTATGGTTATGTTTTGAATGAGTTTATGGGTTATAATTTGTTTCTATTTCTAATATAATTGATGGAATACTCGAGTTTCTAAGAAAGAAGTGAGATATAAGCATTTTGAAATTCATTTTTTCTAATAAAGAACTCTTAAACAACTTTTCGCTTTTGGAGATGTGAATTCTTTTATTAAACGGTTCTAAATTTGGTGACTTATCAACATTTTGGTGATTTTAAGATCAGTTTCTATAGAAAATTTTTAATTCCAAGATCTGAGAATTTTTGGATGATTTTTTTTTAAAACATCCTAACATTGATGAATTTCATTAAAATAGTGGTAATGTATTGAAATTATATTTAAAAAATAACATTAAAATAAAACATTTTTAATTTTTGCTGTCATATTATAAAATTTCATTTTGGCAACTTATACAATATTTTGACTCTGGAAAATAAAGAAGGTATAATGCTATAAAGCACAATTACGAAATGGCTCTTAGCAAAAGCAAAATTAGCTATGATATTAGTTAAAAATATCTTCTTTTTAATTTTTTCATAGTAAAAGTTTTTCCCATGTAATTGTCTCAGAATATTCAAAATTCTCAGAATATGTATCAGTTTTCTCTATAAAACTAATTTTACACTTTTTCCCTCCTTTTTTTTCCAAAATATTTCTGGCTTTTTGCTGTTACTGAATTGGTAGGGATAATTTTTCTTTAGTATTTTAGACATTGCAGCATGGAAAGTTTAGAAGGATTTGAAGGCAAGATTTATAGACTAACAATTCTAGAAGATTCGAGAAATATGTGACAAAATGAAAAATGTCTCCATGGCATCAACACGTAATGGATGTATTTTACTGAAAGTTTGCAATGAATTTCTTACTTTTTGGAGAACGTCTGGAAGAACAATGAAAACATAATACAGTCAAAAGTCTTTAATCCGGATTCGTCGGGACTTCGGCGATTCCGGATTATAGATCATCAGTTTAAATCTGGTTAGATGGCATGCAGAAATTATAAAATTAAAAATATGAAACTGTAATTTATGAAATAAAGAGCAATTATGATCTAAAGGGTATCAAAATTTACAAAAAAAAAAGGCTTAATATTTATTTGTTTACTTTATTAAACATTTCTTTCAACGCGCGTATGCGTAAAGCATACATTATGCATAGTTGAATTAGAAAATTGCAATCAGAAAGCTATTTGATTTGTATTCGTGATATTTATAATGATGAGGAATTTAATTTAAATCATATCAAAGACGGAGTACATCAAGATGAAATACTACATTATAAGCCGAATAAAATAAAAACATCTGCTCTAAAGATAAGGATAGAGCTGACAGATCAAGTTCCAGTTCATTGCGCGCTGCGACACCCCCGCCCCCGTCCCGCGCAGAGCAGTGTGAAATTGATAAACAGATTTCGGAATGGTTAGAGAAACAAAGGACCCCTTATCCATTTTTTGCAGCAATTCCACTTTTTGTGTGATGGACATCGAAACATGCTTTCCCTTTGTAGATCCAGCATTGGAAATTCTATGTGACATAATCAAAAGTTCGAACTTACTTTTATAAAATTGCTCTAACAGTCTGCAAAAAAATAATAAGCCAGTCAGGGTTGCCACGCTACCTGGAGAACCGGGAAAAGTCAGGGAATTTGAAAATTGACCAAAATATTCAGGGAAAAGTCAGGGAATTTAAGTATTTTTGTCAAAATCTGGAAAAGTCAGGAAAGTTCATACAACGATCCCGCGAAAAAAAGCGATTTTTGCGCCGACGTCGGAAGAGGTAACTTTTTTGGAGAGTTATGTATCACGTGAGTGTCATTCGGGTAGCTGGCATAGAGCCAATTTTAGCAGTTCCAATATTGTCTTTTAGAAAGGCAAAGCAACTTTCCCGCAACTTTTGGTTTCCAATATTTTCGAGAATCGCATGTGCAGTGCATGAACTAAAGAAAGTACCTGTTCTCGTATAAAACAAAATGGGTTTAATCCTAGTATATGGTACCATGGAGGTTAGAATCAAAGAATATGTATTGTAAAGAAGGAAAACCTCTCTGCAACAGACGTGGCTGTGGCTCCGTTCCATCATAGAGGGAAAACAGCTGTGCATGTCTGATATATCTGTCACCAAAGCTCGAAACCGGTGTCGAAGTTTGAAGGTCACGTTATCAAGAGTTCATAAAATGAATATCGTTTAAAATTTCTTTAACCACTTGCGCTAAAAAGACGTGCCACGCACATCAAGATGCTTTTGTCTCAAAACGTGAACACCACGTCGATAAGCATTTATCGCAAAAATGAAAATAACGTGGTGCACACCTCGCCTAACAACGAGATTGTTTATTTCTCGAGTTACAGCTCTGAATTGCACTCGCAGATGCGGAGCGGCGTAAATGAGACACTTTACGGCTTGTTATATTGTAGCGCACGGCACCGCAACTGTGAAGTTTAGTCTTAGCGCAAGTGGTTAAACTCTAAAGGAAAAGAAAATATTTTTTGGCACAAGTAAATTAATTCATGGATTAGTTATTTTTAGGGGGGGGAAACTACGAAAATCCGTTTTTAAAATTATTGCGAAAAATCCAAGAAGAAACGTCCTTTGATAAAACGTTTCTTCTTGGATTTTTCGCAATAATTTAAAATCTGAAACATTTTCGTAGTTTTCTTTTCGTCAAAGAGTGTTTCTTCTTAACACGTGTTTCTCAATTTCCTGTACACATCGCGGAGAGGGAAATTCTGGCCGCCAGGTTTCCGTCGCCAAATCCCTTGGCAAATTTTCCCTCCGCATTCTAGCGGCGTAATAGCATTTTACTTGTATGGAACCTTTTCTTCTTTACATAGACGTTCTTTGGTTAGAATACCTCCATAATGGGATTAACCTCCAGGCGTACACACAAGATTTGGTGTCATTATGATGCGCAGTAAACGGGTCATTTTGGTCTTGGCGACAATTTTCAAAATCGTGCCAAAGCCTTACCGTATACTAGAATTTTACCGCAAAATCTTTTTAAACCTTTTTAGCCTTACCGTATACTAGAATTTTACCGCAAAATCTTTTAAAAACCTTTTTTTTTTTCTTTTTAATAAATACCTTGCCATTTTGCACTAAAATAAAAAAAATAGTATCAGTCATCTAGGCTAAGCCATTGTAATATAACTATATTCGCTAAAATATTCGTTGATTATTCTAATTCAATTTTTTTTAGTAATTATCTTTATTTTATGTTATTCATATCATTTAATGTTGCTTCTTCCCTCTAAATTTATTTATTATTTAGTAAATAATACTTTCCAAATTTCAGGAAATTTTCTCTGGCATAATCCTGAAATTAATTATAGCAGTATGATGACATACCATCACGAAATTTAATGCACATATTTTTTCCTTATGTATGCTGCGAAATAAATATAAAATAGCTCAATTTATTAAAATAGATTTCTTTCTTTCGTTTAGCTGCAGAATGTCTGCAAAAAAAGCCTTATTTTATTCCAGATTGGGAAAATTCTAATCTCAATCTTCAGTGGAGAAAACAACAACTATTATGATTATATTTGTGTTTTCAAGTGTTAAGGTGCCTTTTAAGAACATACCTCACGCAAATTAAATTTACCTAAAATCTAACGTAACTATTTAGCATTGTGTTGTGATTTATAAGGACTGGATTAGCCTCGTGTTGAACTGGTGATGATCATGAGTAATAATTAAATAAAACATACATTTGTTATCCAATATATATATCTTAAATTTTATTAAGTTTCTTAAGTGGAAAACTAAACAAAATTATCAAACAAAGTATACCAAGAATAATTAAGAATAAATGTCCTCTGGGATTTATTGAATAATTAAGTGAATTTGCTACACAATACAAGTAATACCATAATTAATTTACATCTTAGCACAGCCAACGTACATTACGCGGATAGACTGGAATTTTCTTGAAACACACCTGGAAAACCTGGGAAAGTCAGGGAATTTCATTCTCCTGTTTGAGTGGCAACCCTGGCCAGTTCCAATTCGAAGATTAAGGAACAACGCAATCTGCAACATTAACTGAAATAGGTAATTAGATCATTTTAGCTTAGCTTATACGGTCCGTTATGCATTAAATGCGCATGTGTAAACGTATTATGCGCATGCGTGAAGGTATTACGTATGCGTTGACGCATGCACAGAAAGTTTGTAGCTTTGAGGTCCGGATTAACGACTTTTGACTGTATATGGTAAAGGCCGGTACAGAGCCGTTGTGGCAGAATTTTTAGAATTTAGTGACACACCGAACAGCAAAATCTAGAAATGGCAAAACTTTTAGGAATTAGAGCAGGCATTGGAAGCAAAATTTAGGCTCCACAGAGATTGCATCAGGTGGGAAAATGCCTAGTGCCAGCTCTGTGTATGATGCATTAAAACATATTAGATGAATCTTTTAAATTGTAAGTTTTCAATTTCTTTATTAATAAAAAAATCCTTTTCTATAATGCCTGCCCATGTGACAAGATTAGAAGCATTTTTGATATTTTCCATGCTTGTGTCTAGTGAAAAAGTAGAGAAAATAAAGGGAAAATAAACATGTTAAGGAAATGATTCTAGTATCAGGAGTAAAACATTCAAATACTATTAACCATGATCGCATAACTACTGTACTTCTCATATTGTTCTGATTCTGGTATTTCATGAATTAGATATTTTAATTGTGTAAATTATTACTTCTTAATTAATTTTACATGTTGTTACATTTAATTTGCAGGTGTAGTGTATGCATCAAACTCTAAGCCAATTAACATTAGAAGATTGGTTGATACTATGGCAAATGATTGTAGCACCCTCAAAAAGAAACCAAAGCTTTTTTTCATACAAGCTTGTCAAGGCCATCAAAGTAAGTAATACTTATGTTTCTTTAATCATGAGCATTTGTTATAATATTACTTGTACATGTTATGTCTTCTTATGATTACAGTTAACATATTGGTCACATCTGCATGGGTTATAAATTATTATGTATGTTAAATCGAATGAAACTTGCCAGTGTAAAATTTAAGATTAGTGAAAACAGCAGTGTTAGTTTGGCAAAATTGTTTTCCTCCTTAAGAAGAGGGGCTTGTGTCTAGTCGCCCTTGAAATCAATAGAGTTTAATTCAAAATCTATTTGAAAATCTTTTGATGAAATTGGAAGTCCTCTCCCGTAGTAAAATTTTTGTTTGTAAATCATTAATAAACTGAATAGTATTACATTAGCATGACTTAAAGCAATAGGACATTACATCATTAAACAAGTAATTTCACAGAGGTAAGTTACTAAACAAGCTGAGAAATTATGAACATCAAATTGAATATAATCTTGGAAAATATACATACCTTGGTGTCCGCTGAAAACATCATGGAGAAAACAACACAAGGTGAAAACATCTTTGGAGAAAAGAACGAAAAGAGAAAAAATCACAGTTCTAAAACATCATGGTACAAAATATCATTGTTGAAAATAAAGCGATTAAAAAAATTTGTAGTTTGAAAAACGTCATCAAAATTATAGTGGTAAAAATAAAGTGCCTACAAATCAACGCATGGCGATAAAACTTAATAGATGCACTTTCAGGGCTTTAAAAGTTGTAAATGCATTCTTGCATAATGACTTGTGAGTGCAAAATGTAAAGAGAAATATTTTTACTTTTGTATTAATGATTTTTGGATTAACAACTAATTTATTGCCGAAAAAGTATGAAGGAAATAATTTGATAATTAAAAACTAAAAGTAAATAGAAAATTAATGGAATTTATAGCACTTAATAAAATTTTAAACTTACATAGTGTATGTGTGTGTGTGTGATTATAGCAAAGCCTCGAGGGCTATCTGCCTAAGGGGAGGGATGCCTTTGTGGAGAACTTTCTAAGGGAAACTGGCTCGTATACACGTTACACATGGGGAAAACCACGAAAACGCCCATGCAGCCAGCCCGTTCGCGGGATTCGAACCTCGGACCGAACTACCATAAACTTACATAGTAAACTAACAAAGGTCATTAATGAATTAATCTCTTTTTATGAAGTTTTACTGGTAATTTTTCATGAAAAATATAGTCTAAAAAAGATTAGAAAAATGAAGATCAGAAATTATTATGTGAATATGCATTAAGACTTAAAGACTGGAAAATGCATCTCTGCAATGTTATCATCATGTGATGATTTCTAAGTGCTTTAATTTTTACCATGATATTTTCAACTGTGAAGTTTTTTAACCACTTTATTTTCGACGGCAATAATTTGCATTGCGAGAATTTAGAACATTAAACTAACAAAGGTCATTAATAAATAATTTTTTTTAAGTTTTACTGATACTTTTTCATGAAAAATATAGTCTAAAAAAGATTAGAAAAAGGAAGATAAGTAATTGCATGAGCTTATCTATTAAAAAATTGCTTAGTTAATTATCAAATTATTTTCTTTCACTTTTGTTAATCTGATACTGTTATAGTGAAAATTATTTCTTGTTGTGTTTCAGTTTATTCTTGAATTACCATTAAAATTTTCATCTACATTGTGCATTAATTACCTGGATGTCGATTTGTTAAATATGATGCAAGCCAGCTGCATAAATACTCCATCAGTTGGATTTCGATTTATTGGATTATTCCAAACCACACTAGGTTTAATGGGGAGGGATGGCTTTGTGGAGTACTTGCTCAGGAACTGGCTCATATCCATATTATACATTAAGAAAATCACAAAAATTTTATGCAGGGAGCTCCTTCACCTGTTCGAAATACTAGTGTTAGATGACTTTACTGCTCGGCGACTCGGACAATAAAAACGTCATCAGAATGCCCTGATGGTAGCTAGTTTTCAAATTTAAAAACTGCGATATTTTACATTAACTTTTATTTTATAGTAACTTTATAATGTTACTTTAAGAATAAACTGAAACAAAACAAGAAATAATTTTCACTGTAAGAGTATCAGATTAACAAAAATGAAAGTAAATCATTTGTTAATTATCTAAGCAATTTTTTATAGATAAGCTCATGCAATTACTTATCTTCCTTTTTCTAATCTTTTTTATACTATATTTTCATGAAAAAATAGCAGTAAAACTTAATAAAAATAATTTATTAATAACCTTTGTTAGTTATCTGTGTAAGTTTAAAATTCTATTAAGTGCTGTAAGTTTTATTAATTTTCTATGCTTAAGTTTCCTTCTTACATTTTCAGAAAATATTTATTAGTTAATTAAAAATGTGGACATAAAAATTATTCTTCTTTGCGTCTTGCACTCACAAATCATTATGCGAATATCCATTAAAAATTTTTAAAGCCTGAAAAATGCATGTCTGCATTGCTATTGTCATGCTATGATTTGTAGGTACTTTTTTTGTACGTTACTTTCGACAGCTGTGTTTTTAAACTGTGAAGTTTTTGAACCGTTTTATTTTTGACAAGGATATTTTGTACCATGATGTTTTAGAACTGCAATGTTTTCTCTTAGCTTTCTTTTCTCCCATGATGTTTTGTACCACGACGTTTTTGTGTTGCGATGTTTTGTACGCGATATTTTCTTCTGTAACTACATACCTCGTATGTGTCAGATACTAAACTTATCTTGAGACTTGAGCTGTGCATTGCACAGTCAAAATGCATGACATAAAAGTAATGATAATGCACTAGAAAAGTCAGATATTCTAAATGAATTCTAAGAACTGTTAAAACAACTAGTTGTAAATGGTAATCTTAATTGCAACATGCAATTAATGTAATATATGCTGCTGAAAGGAACCTAAGATGTTCACCTAAGATAGTATGTGGCAAATAAAGCTGAAAATTGCACTGATGTCTCACTAATGAACTCGGTCATGCATTGCAAACTGCATGGAATATCAGAATGTTTTTAATATGTTAAACACAGAACTAAATTTGTTCTCCTATGTGCTTAAGCAGAGCATGATTCTAGGAAATATGTTTGCACAGAAAAAGAGACAGTGAAATAAACCATTCATCTGAACTCATTCTCAGTGTTAGATAGCCACTGAATACTGACAGCCCTCCTTAAACCTGAAGTCTGAGATCATCCTTCTAGAAAGTAACCATTTTAGATTGCTTCTTAAAACCTGAACTTTTCAGAAAAACCAAAATCTGGTATGACTGCCTTTGCCTGGTCATGAGATTTTTTGTGAACAACAACTGAGAGCAGATGCTTTCTCCATCCTTATATAGCTTTCATCCGGCCACTTAAAAGTTACTTACTCTGCTACTTACTGAAAGGCATATGAGAGGGGGGTATAGTTACAGTTGCATATGAAATCAACTAGTTATTCAATTATGATACCTATTATAGTGATATAGGGACCAGACCAAAATTTCACTAAGTTCAGGGGCTTTTGGAGATTTCTTGCCAGATGTAGTCACCAGCTGTTGTCAGCGTGGGGATACCTTGCCAAATTAATGAGATAGCCATTTACTCAATGTTAAACAGATTTGCCCCTGTGTTCTTATTTTTTCAGCAGAGCATTTTCTCTCTAGATTTTCATGTTACCTTATACAGGAAAAATACAGCAATTTCACATATAATTGCACTAAAATCATCTGCATGCAAAATTCGTAGCAGTGTCTATCTACACAAAGTAATGTGTACTTATGCATAGATGTACATGTGTGTATACCTGCATTTATATGTAAACAAATGCACAATTATGTGCTTACGTACTTTATACAGGGTGGTCATAAAAAAACCTTCCCTAATCCCTGGCAGCCTGTCAGCTCAACCAATCAAAATGAAATTTCAGATATTGTTATTAGAAGGTACGCGATCAAGATTGTGATGATTTAAGAGAATAGAGTTCTCACAGGTATGGTTACAGTAAAAAATTTCGAAATTTTCAAACCTACTTTTTCCCTGTGCAAATTGATTACCACATTTTAAAACCATAAATGGCATTGGAATGGTACATTGACGAAAATTGTCTGGCATGAAACATTTGCAAAGAAGAGCTTGGCAGCACGAAACATACAATTACAAGTTTTCAACATGCCCACCTTTACACACGATGATGCATTGTATGTGGGAGATTGTTGATAACGATGAATGTAACATTGCATGAGGAATCTGCATAACTTCATATTTTATGACATCTTTCAGTTTTGACAAATCTTATGGATTTGCTATGTACACACTGAATCACAGATAATCTCAGAACCAGAAATCCATCGAAGTAGGGGTGGAGGATCATGGTAGCATGAGACTCTGAAGTTACAGGAGATGATTCTGTACCCAAAGTGGTGCTGTAGCAATTGCCAGGCTCATGTGTCAACATGTAGAGGAGCACTATCTTGCATTCTTACAGTGTCATTAATGACATTTCGCTTCTGGAATTATGTAATTTTGTAACTTTGTTGTATACTGAGCACTTCTATTGGAACACACTTTCATACCTGTGAAAGTTACCTCATCGAAGATGTCAAGAGTGAATGGGCTGCTGATGTCGCAACACACAGTCACTTCAGCTGCCACATCATTAAGTTTTTGTCAGCCCACTGAACGCAGCTCTTGGAGCTTACATTCGCAATTAAGGCAAAATACACCTTATCTGTCCATAATATCCATAGCAGCCACCTGCTGCCTTTATCATATCTGATGAAACTTTGAAATTCTAAATATTCTGAAACAGTCAAGAGGTCTGAAAATATTTTGCATTAAAAAAAGAGTTTTTTTTAATCTTGTTTCTCTGTGGGAATATACCTAGCCATTAGTATACTATGAGTGTTAATGATGTATTTCTGAGTTACCTCCCTATCAGTGTCTCAATTTCATGGCAGATAATTTCAGGTAATTTTGAAGTGAGATGTTCAGAGTAGGTCAGTGTAATATTTGTGAAATATCACTGTCAGTTC